GAGCCGAGACATTCATTCTTTTAATTTGGGGAATGTCCCAGTTACTTGTGCTGGGCCTTGGTCCCTCTACCACAAATTTCCCCTGATTTTCCAATCTGTTTTGGGTGGCGTTTTTCTGCCCTGTACGTAACTAATCTGACAGTGACATCCCCGTTCCCCCCCTCCACACTCCCTCCCAATCTGTTCATGGAAAACAAGCTCAGTGTTGCCCAAAGGCTCCCAAGTAAAAGCTGTGCATGAACAAGGGCAGCAACTCCCATGCGGGTAACATTTTATTACAATTTAACAGTGACGGACAAAGAAGTACCAAATAAACTGAGGGAGACAAGGTAAAAGTCTGGATTTGGGCTAAACATGGAATCAACCTTGCCCAAACCAAATTGCCCACGTTTGTCTGTTTCACTGCATTACAGTGTGTATTTCTAAGCAGTGTTTGTTTCAAATTCCATTCAGGAATTATATGGTGTTCCATTTAAACTCAGCTGGTGTTATCACCTGTGTGTTTTACAAAGTAAAGGCCAAAATGGAAGGGCTTGGCACTGGAGCAAGCAGCAGCTGTCTAAAATGTGCAGCCTCTGAGGATGTTTATAAAGAAATGCCACATAATGGGATAGAATCCACATCCCCAGTTGTCACAGGCTTTTTCACAGATGTATTAGGCAGCAGTGTGGCTTGAATAAACTTCTGCCACTCCAAACTTCTCTCCTGGATACAGAACATGCCAGAGCTCTGTGTTTGTACAGGGGACTCTGCCCTGGCAACCACATGCAGCCAGTCTCTCCTGTCTGGCTGGTCAGCCCAGCTCAGTCTGGCCTCAGTTCCCATTTTCTCTTCTTTTTCTCTCATTTTGGTGCAGATTGAGTCTGCATTTCTTTTAGCTGTTCTAGAGGGATGTAGGAAATTGTGTGTAGAAAGGAGCCTTGTGCTACTTTGTGCAGGAGAGAATTCCAGTTAAATGTGCCTCCCTTCACATCTGGATTATCTCTAATCCACACACTGACACTGCCCTGCACATACCAGTGCATTCATCCTGTACCCAGTCCTGCAAATCAAAACCTAAAGCTTTTATTGAAACGTTTATTAGTACCTACATCTCTATAAGTAAATAAATTTTTAGAGCAATTTGAAATCATTACAGCTGAACTATTTGTGCCATTATTGTGGCCTTCGTTCCCCAGGCTCTGTTCTGGGCAGGGTTCAGGCGTGCAGGCTGGGAAATCCCCTTCCCTCACCTTCCTGCCTCACTTCTATTTTTCCCTTTCCAGAGCCTTTTCACAGCTGATTTCAGCACTGGAAAAGCGGAGGAAATGTTTTTTTAATGTATCATGAAATGTTTTGCAATTTCTCAGTGGTTGCCAGCCAGCAATAATATTTTTTCAAACCCTTAAGGTTTCTTAAGGGAGAACCCATCTACAATTTTTTTTAAAATTTGTTTAGCAGCAAAGGAGGGACTTCTGTTGTAGCTACAGCCTTAAGAATTGATATTTTGAGATATTTAACGGAGGTAAGGTCGAGCTCCCCAGAGGGGTTCGGT